GGGTTTCGGGTTTTGGGTTTAGGGAGGTTCCCCAGTAGTCCCTGAATAATAAGGGTACCCTTTTTCCTACTATTTGTTTTTAATTAAGGGGCCCCAAAAAGAAAAAGGGCAAAAGGGTACTACTGGGGAACCTAGCTGGGTTTCAGGTTTCGGGGGTAGGGTCGAAGGACGAGGTTTGGAGTTTAAGATCTCGGCTTCTGTAGCAAAGCGACCTCCTTCTGGGTTTGACGTTTAGGGCTCAAGGGGTTTAGAGTTCAGGGCGGTTTAGGGTTTGTGGTTTAATGTGGTTTGGGTTCTGTTAGGCTTCTATTTCTGTAGATTCCTATAGGGCTTGATATTGGCTTTGTGATTCGGTGCTGCAAGGTTTGCGGATTTGTTGCTTCTAGACCAGGGCTTAGCTCCCGGGCTTGAGGCCTTTAAATAAAGGCCCATCACGTATTTCACACATGGGTGGTTGTCAAAATTATGATCCCTTTTTGGGTCCTTATTATAATACGGCACCTATTATTTAGGGTACCCCAAAAGGGACCATAATTTTGACAACTACCCACATGGTTTTGAGGTCATTCTACTGCTGTGTCATATTCGGGACCCGAAGGGATAATATGAGAGACTAAATGCAGCCAGCCCTAAACCCTAACTAAACCCTAAATCCCAACCCCTAAACCCTAAACCCTGAACCCTATACCCTAAAACCTAAACCCCTGTTTCAAGGCCGGGCTATCTGCGTTGCGGCTTCAGGGCTTCTTGCGGTGCTGCTTGTATGGAGTTTAGGGTTCAGGGTGTAGGGCTTGGGGTTCAGGGTGCAGGGTTTAGGGTTCAGGGTTTAGGGTTCAGGATTTAGGGTTCAGGGTGTAGGGTTTAGGGTTTAGGGTGTAAGGCTGAGGGTGTAGGGTTTAGGGTGTGTATAGAGTTTAGGACGGTAAGGATTCAGGGAGTCAGGGTTAAGGGAGCTAAGCTAATAGACAAACCTTGCACTCTAGTTCCCGTGAAAAGCAAATGATGCAGCGTTGCAGAAGCTGACGGGGAGTGAAACTTCAGCTGCATGACCAGACTCCAATAGCTCTTAACACCATGAAAAACTTTAAGCCATAGTCATAGTCTAGCAGTGCGGGTAGTTTTTCAAATGGCCAGAAGGGGTATCGGACTGATATGGTGGTCTGGGCACCACCAGGGTCTATTGTTTTCAACAACACAGCTGCGCAAATAAAGTCTGGCTTGCGTAAATGCTCTGGGTTTGAAACCTCGAACCACAAACCCACAAACCCTGAACCCTAAACCCGAAACCCTGAACCCACAAGGCCTTCACTGTTGAATTTTGGGGCCTGCATTCCCCGAGGAGCAAAGCCTGATTTAAATCAAAGAAACCTAATGAAACCCCAACCCACGGGAAACCCAGTCGCCCCGAGACCCTACACCCCGACCCCTGGACGACCCTTTACAGGCTTTACAGACGCCCCAAATGCCAAAACCCCAAAAACCCCCTAAACCCTAAACCCTAAACACCAAAACCCCTAAACCCTAAAACGTAAACCCCAAACCCTAAACCCTAAACCCCTAAACCCTGTAAAGAGACCCTTGATCTCCTCATAGAGGCCCTGCTCTTTCAGCGTGTGGATCACCTCTCCGACAGCATCGTCCAAGGCTGACGCCAGGGCGCACACCTCAAGGGGGGTTTTAGGGTTTAGGGT